AATTTCTTTTACTCGTTTCATAGCATTGATTAGTCATCGTAGCTAAAACAATAAGTAATAATATAGCTTATCCTTTACTGAAGCAACCGAATTTGGGCGCAAATCTCATATATATTACTAATCATTTACCGCCGTTACTCATCAAAAGAAATATACAATAAAATGGCGAAGTGAAGAAATTTTTTTTAGAATTGGGAAAAATTGCATCTTTAGCAAGCAGATTTATTACAAAATGATTAGATCCATTCTCTCAAACATCTATGAAATCAAAATTCACTTATAATAGTAAAGGAATTGGACAAAGTCATAAGATTATTCAAATCATTGAGTTTCACAATTAGTGCAAAAAAACACTCAATTCTTTAGGTCTAAGACCATTTTGTGAATTATTTCGTGTGGTTTTTGATAAGAGATATACATAGATGATGAGGGGAAAGGCGATGAGGATTTCGTAATAAATATAGTTCAATCTTAAGTTAATTATAGTAGTTGTAAATAAAAAGGAGCAGTAAAGAAATTAGACAGATACGTTTCATGCAAAAGACCGATCAATCGTGAATTGGCTTAAGAAGTATTTATCTGATCTTCTAACCTGATCAACCATCATTCCTGATAATATCATCGTCAGGATGAAAATTTCTGTAGATATTTTTTAGAATTTCCCAAAGATATTTTCTGGAATCCTCCACACGCGTTTTCTGGAATTTTCCAGGACTATATTGTGGAATGTTCTACAGTAGATATTTTCTAGAAATTTCTATAGATTTTTTTGAGAATTTCCTACAGATATTTTCCAGAATTTCCCATCGATATTTTCTGTTTAACTTGCCCATCCGATTACGATTGCAGTGAAAACTGATTACGACTGCAATGATTGGCAATCACCCAATCAAATGAACCGATGGAAATTAATTTTTACTCTTCCATCATGATATTTAAATAGAAAAGATAATAGTTAATAGTGAAATCCAACTGATTTAGCGCCATTTTATTATTACTTCGCAATTAACTTCTACTGACTTTCGAACATCTTTGTAGAACAATTTCACTGATTCCAAAAATTCAAAAATAATTCCTTGTCTATCACTTATGAAATACTTATGATATATATCATACGGTGGATTTGCAATAATCCTACAACGCTATTAAAAGTTGATCAGAAGTACAGTTTTTCGATTCAGGTTCCGAATAACGCTGTCCAATTTCAGTATTCGAAGGTTCCACAATTAATACAAAAAACATTCAATTTTTTAAGTCTAAAAATTCAGTGATCATTTTGTAAATTATTTTATGTACTTATTGAAAAGAGATATATGTAGATGACAGGGAATATCAGAATTTAATTTCCTAGTAAATCCAGTTCAATCTTAAATTAATTATAATAGTAGTAAATAAATAGGAGCAGTAAAGAAATCAGATGGATAGGTTTCGTGCAAAAGATCGATAAATCATGAATGATTTAAAAAGTATTTATTTGATCGTCTAACTTGACCAACCATCGTTCCTGATAATATTATCGTCAAGATGAGAATTTATGTAGATAAATTTTTTAGAATTTTCTACAGATATTTTCTAGAATTCCCCATGCATATTTTCTAGAATCCTCAATAGATCTTTTGTGGAATTTTCCACAACAGATATTTTCTGGAATTTTCCAGAATTTTCCATAACACATTTTCTGGAATTTTCGTGAAATTTTTTATAGATTTTTTCTTAAATTTTTTCTGAATATTTTTTGAATTTCCTATGAGAGATATTTTTCCGGAATTTTCCATAAACTTGTACTGGAATTATTTCATAGATATCTACTGGTGGTATTCTCTATAAATAAAATTTTCCGCATATATTTTTTGGAAACTTTTCATACATTATTCAATACATTACCTATATGGTATATTTCTAATATTTTTGTTTGCTCATTATATTATTATATACTTTTTGGTTTTTCTTTATTCCACTTAACCAATTTGAGAAATATTAAATGATAAATGCATCTATTACTTTACAATTTGATGTAATATTTATTCCATCAATATTGTTTCATATCATCTATTTTATTCATCTTTCTATGTTATCATAGAAAAAGTTTAATCCAAAGAATGAAATTGATATTTCGTTGGCATTGATAATTTTACAACAAACACGACTAGACTCATTGAAGTTTAATATGAAAGGAATGAGAAATTTATTAAGTTACATTATCATTATATATTTGGGATTTACATTGCATTTTTCCAGTCATTATGGTTATTAATTTATTTATTAAAGAAAATTTTTCCAGTATTTTTTAACTTTTGAAATAATAATTTTTAATATGAAAATTTGAAATTTTGATCAAGTTAATTATGTAATTTTGCAAATGATATTGTATAGTGAATGAAATCTCTTTGAGTAATGCCATCATGACAAGTTATACATTACGTGAAAAAATGAGAAATATTAAATGATAGATGCGTAACATTTGTCCCACCAATATTGTTACATATCGTTTATCTTATCCATCTTTCTATATTGTTATCGTAGAAATTTTAATTTTCATTAAGATTGTTTGTTAGTCAACATTTGAATGAATTTCTGTAAATATCGAAGTTAAGGACGAAAATTAGAACGTTATTCAATCAATCATATTAACGATTTTTCTTTTTTCTTTT